ATGCATCTAATGCACATTTAGGACTTTTAGCCACAGAGAGATGTCATGTAAACAACAGGGTAGTAAATACTCATTTTCTGTGGGATTAAACCTAAATATGCTCCGCTTTTTCTAAGGAAAAACCTCCACCACCACACAGACACCGTGGGGAAAGAAGACAAGAGATGCCACAAAGCCACTGCCACCCCATAACACTCCAATTTCCATATGGAAATAATAAGATGTGCCCAATTTCGAGCACCCAGGCAACAGAACCCACATTAAGATTCCATCTCCCGAGAACTCGGCTGTAAAATCCGTAATTTTCCCGATCTTTTGAAGGAGTTCTCATTTGCAGCAACATCAGAGAGCCAACAGCCCATGGATGCTCCCATCCAGCTCCAGCAGGCATTTGCATTAATCTGCTTTTGGTTAATTAAGCGGTGGAAAAGCATCTCCCCCTCACCCAGAAATCTCTTCCACGCTCAGATTTCCCTGTCAAAACCTCCCTCTTTTTTTCCAGCCTGGAAAAAACTACAAGTGGAGAAGGCTAGAAGGAAAAAAGTAGGAATGAAAAACACTGGAGCTACTGTTATTTTTCCCCACCTACCTAGAGCTAATGATACGACAAAAAATAATGTCTGTGGTTAAACACAGAAGAAAAAAAAAAGTTATTTATTTGTCCTTATTTGCACATCAGCCAAACCCATCACCTAAGGAATTTTGAGCCCATCACCTAAGGAATTTTGCCCCCAAATTCCATAAAGGGGGGGGAGAAAAAAAAAAAGGTATTCAAATACTCTCCATTAAAACCAGCTGAAAACTATTATTCATGAGAGCAGTAATTATCTCTTGCACCCCCAGAGAGCACAAAGCAGCTTTTCCCTCGCACACAGAACACCTGCCCACCAACTCAGAGCATCCAGAATTAGGAAGATAAACTTATTTAAGCTTTATTTCTGAGCAAGGACTTGTGTCTGAAGGGTAGATAAAGCAAATAAACTCCTGACAGCAGCATCTCTGGGAACATTTGTAAAGCAGAGCATCACTAAATGATGCTCTTATATTGCACTGGCACAAGCACAGCTCTTGCCCATCACCCAGAAGGATTCAGGGCTTGTAAATGTTAAGTATTAACAGTCTGAAATAGTTAACAGCTTCTTGCCCTGTAATCAGGTAGAATATCAAACTCTACATAAAGGTAGCTGTGCTTGAAAGCAGAATTAAGTAGGTTTACAGGTCCTGCTCTCACCAGTGCTGGGGTATTGCCCAGTGATAACACGTTTAACATACAAATAATATGAAATCAACATAAAAAAGTGTACACTCTCGTAAAAAAAAAAGGAATTTTGAGCAGGATTTTACTGCCAAAGCACCACTAATCTGAAGTGCTTTATTGCCCTGCCTGTGCAATAAAGTGAGGAGGGTCCAACCACAGTCACAGGAACACACAGCAGAGACAAACCCACAGACACTCCCAAACCTTCAGCAGGGTTTTCAAGGGCTACCAAACTAATTATGAAATTAATAATGACTAAAAAGAAAGTTACACCAGCAAAATTAATGGAAGAAGTCTCACCTTCCCCCCCCAGATCCCTTTAGAACACCCAACCAATCCAGGTTCTGAAGTCACAGCAGGATCTCAGGATTTACAGTTCTAGTTATTATTTTTTTGTTGGGGGAGGGGGAAATTTAAAAAAAGTAATTTCCCTGATAATAAACAGTGTGAAACAGGAGAAGAATAAATTAAAAACCAGAGAACAAAACAGAAAATGCTACTTCAACTACAAAGGTACCTTTGCCAGGCCTTTTCCTTCAGCAAAATCACTCAAGACCTTGTGAGTGGCTTGAGAGTGATGTGGCATCAGGAGAGAGAGAGGACCGAGGCTTTTCTGATGTGGATTCTTTTGCTCAGGTGATTTTTAGCACGATTTTAGCTTAAATGAGCTGTAAAAAATCTAAGTCTTGCCCCTTGCAAAACTCAGAGCTGCAGAAGTACTTTGAGGATGGACCACCCAGGCACCAAAGGCGGAGCAGGTAGAAGGAAAGAAAGGATGTTTAGGGAAATAAGGAGCTTAAGAGTAACAAAAGGAAACGGGAGGTGTTGAACTGTAGCACCCACAGAAGATCAGGGTTGAAAACAATCCATTGCTTCAACATCTCCCCCACTTTCAGCCGCACGGGGTGTATGCTCCAAAAAATCGGAGCAGATGATGAAAGCACACATTCTCTGCTCCCGAAATGTCACAAAGGCCAGCTGAGCAACCACCACAAAAACCGGAGAGCACAAACACCCTTCCTTGGGGGAGGGGAGGACACAGATAAATATCTGGAGAGAACCTTCTCTGATGAACGAGCTGTTTTAGTTACTATTTTCCTGGCTAAGCTCACCTCCAATGTTGCCTCGCCTATAGCACAGGAAGCTCGTTGAGAAGTATTTTATTATTCCTTCAGGACCTTCTGTTCCTTATTAAATCAAAACCACACACAGGTTTATCTCAGAAGTGTATTAGAGGGCACAAGGAGAACCTTGACCCGGGCACTTTGTTTTCACGTCGAGTTAATGTGCATTCATCTCATCCTCCTGGATTACTACAAACCTACACCCACTTCCAGCCGAGCATCTACAAATATTTTAAAGCCTAATAACAACACAGATGCTCTTTTTCAAATATCTTAGTCAGAAGGGGGAAATGTTTTCACTCCCTTAGCAAAGATGATCAGAGCCACTGGAAATTCCTGTCCATTTGCAGGGTTTCACACAGCACTTTGCAGATAGTAAAATAAAATCTCTTTGAACCTGAAGAGGCTTCCACACCCACCAGGCTGCAAAAAAAAAAACCAACAATCTCACAACGTTTTCACCTATTTAAAGAACAGGGGTACTAATTGGCTCTGTAAACATCTGCAGAAAATAGCTGTATATAAAAATAAAGGAAGAAATAACAGCAAAACCGACACCCAAACAAGGCCGTGAGGAGCTGGAGACACCAGGGGAGAGGAAAACCAGGTACATCCACACCTGAACTCCAGGATTTCCTCAACCACTGCCAATATTCTAAAATATAGAGCCTGGGCAGGCTCATTGTCAGCCTAAAGATTGGAAAAGAAACTTCTGGTGATGATGATGTGAGTTATTTCAGTTTAAAACTCCACCTGACGAATCGGTTCTAACACTACTCATAAAAACGCCTGCACTTCATGCTTAAAATCTTAAATAACCTTCTAATTTTGGTCATAAAACCAACAGCTTGCTGTGGAACTCGTTTACTTTCAGACCCGCAGCAGGACTGCAGACATTCTAAAATTTTAGGCGAGCAGAAAGTAGTTTAGTAATTGTTAAGTACCGGAACACTTAATGTGTAATACTAGAATAACCACCAAAACAGTGTCATTAACACGAGGAGCAGTCCGGAGTGCAGTTTCCTGCTCATTTAGCCAAGATTAATTCTTCACGGGCAAGAGAAACATTCTTTCTACCTCACCAAGGACAACCCGAGCAAGAAACGCTGAAGAAAAGTCGGGTTTTTTTTGTTGCTCAACCTTTCTTTTTAATATGCGTGATGGGTAATGTCAACAAAAATCGCTGTTCTGTGCTCTGGGCGAAAGGAGCTTAGAGGGGGAAGAAAGACAGGCAGGGAGAGCAGATGGCACCAAGTCTTCGAGAAACAGGGAGGGAGGGGGGGAAAGTTTCCCTACCAAACATATCCCCGAATGAAGAGGAACGCTGCTTAACTTAATCACAGCGGGAAAAGGCCAAAGACGCGTATTTTACTGCAAGACAGAACGTTTCGTTTCCAAAAGGGGGATAAAACCCGCGAAACCCCGCCAACCCTGCGGGTGTCCTTACCCTGCCCTGCTGCTCCTCCGCTTCGAACGGGGAGGGGGTTTTTTTTTGGGGGGGGGTTTATTCCTGGCGGCGCTGCCCCCTTCCTCTCGCAGCGCATCGAGCGCGCACGGAACGGATCGATGGCGCTCCAGACACAAGACTAGACGATCCATTTACCGACCGCAGCAAAAAAAAAAAAAAACCAAAAAACCAACAAACCGTCCTGTTCAGCAAAAAACCCCTCCGCCCCTCAGCACCCTGAAATCCTAAAGGGCGGCGTGGCGGGGAGCTGAGCTCGACTGGTGGCTCTGAGGGTGATAAACAAGTGGATTTCTGCGCGCCCCGCCGGGCTAAAAACCTCCACAGAGCGCTAAATACACCGAAATAAACCAAATATCCACGCCAAGAGCAAGCAGGGAGTGCTTGTGAAACACTATTAGATCCTTACACGGCTCCTAATCGGGGTTTTTTTCTGGTGAGACTGATGGGGTTCCGAGCAAAACCAGTTGCCCAACCACTGGTTGCTGCCATCGTTTTCCTCCTGGAGCAGCGTGGGGAAAGTCCTCGCACCCCGCTCCCTTCCCAGCGCTCGGAGCTGGCCCTTGGAACTCCAGTTGTGCCGGTTTCAAGAGGGAATTAGTGGTTTTCGCACGGACGCGTCGAACAGCGAAACATAAAGGGTTACAAATTATTGTTTGGAAACCGAAAGCCCGGCTTTTCACCCCAGTTCTGTTCGTACATCTCACCCCTCGCTGTCACCAAAGGACGAGCCCGGGCTTTCGCAGCAGCACCTATTCTAAATTAATGAAGCATTAACGAAGGTCGACGTTCACCAGTGAATAGTCCCGGAGTAAGAGATCAAACCGAAGCAAAAAGAGCATTTCGGCTGGGTAATTCTTATTTAAAAACACGCCATCCAACACCAGTGACTGCGCTGCCAGATTACTGATGTGACACTAGGTGGTTATGTCTCCACATTTATTCCACACAATTGATCTGAAATCCAAGCGCTGCGCGCGTTTGCAGTGCTTCACGCTATTATATTTTTAAGAATAAACATAAAAGCAGCTTCTGCCTTTGCAGCCAAACATTTGTCACCCGAAGAAAACGCATTTCTCCTCAGCCCAAGCTTCCAAGGGCTGACCCCAAACCCCTTCCGTTTAAAGCAACAGATCCGAGAACATTCACTTACCTGATGAACAAGAGATAAGAAAAACAGCGAACGCCAACTTAGTAGCAGCTCCCATTTTCCAACGCTGTTAAAACATTTAAGTGACTTTTAAGTATCCAGTTTCCTGGGTCCTGCAAGCTGGAAAAAAAAAAAAAAATCTCCCTTCTTGCTGAACCGTTATAAAGCAATTTATAGCAACATCTCTGCAGCAGGTAGTGTTCAGAAAACACTAAAATCAGGTTTGTTTAGACACTGACGACCTCCCCGCGGCTCTTTCTAGAGAGAATCCGGGTCGAGGGAGGGATAAATATATTTGGAACCGTGTTTCAAAACACACGTGTCATTTGGCTTCTGTACAAACGGTGGCAAAATTCAATTCGCAAAAGTAATGCTACGAATCCACTTAAAAAAAAGAAAAAAAAAACCAAAACAAGAAGAAAATAAGTCAAGAATTAAGCTGCTGGACACGACGAAGTCTCTGAGTCTCCAAGTGTTTTCCACATCAAGCGCCGTGCAGGATCATCCCTCGTGGATGCCGGGGGGTCGGGCGGGATGAGTCCACACGATGTTTTCGTCCTGCCTCCCCCTCCTCACACACCTTGTAGTGTTTGGGAGAAAAGCAGCTCCATTCCAGTTCCAAACCTCGGGGCGAAGGGAGGAAGTTCTGTCAGTTCCTCGACGAGAAGATAAAAAAACTGCCTTAAAAACCAGCCACACGTGGGTTTTCTCTATAATAACGCTGAGGGATTTCGCGCAGCCCAGCCGAGGAAAAGGGAGGAAAAAACCAAGTTTGGTACCAAACCAACCCTTGGGAAGGGGCAAAGCTCTAGTCCTTGGCCAGGCGGCGAGAGCAGCGCATCCCCCCGGCTCCGCCGTCCTTCTCCAGCACTCCCGAATCCCGGCAAGATTTCCAATCCTTCTAGGAGATTTCCATCCCTTCCCCCCGCAAAGAAGCTATATTTGGTTTTTAAACACACGGGAGCGACTGGGGAGGGGGGTAGGAGAAAAAAAAAATAAAATAAAAAAAATGCAGTATCCAGGCGCTGGGGGAGGAGGAGGAGGGTGGTATATTCTTTGTGGCAAATCCTTGCCGGAGCGCCGAGCTTCCTTCCAGGAGAGCTGGGCTTCTTTGGAAGGGAGGAGGCGAGCGGGGCTGTGCCTCACAGGATGGATGGATCCGGGATTCACGGGGCCGGGATGGATTCACGTTCCTCACGGGGCCGGGCTGGATCCAGGCTCCTCAAGGGTCCGGGCTGGATCCAAGATTCACGGGTCCTGAATGGATCCACGCTCCTCACGGACACATCTCCTCCTGGCCGCCCCGCCGCTGCTCACACGGACCCTCCACCAAACCCACCCCTCCGAGCTCGATCCGGTTGTCGCCTCGTTTTTTTCCTCCTCTTTTTCCTTTTCCTGCGCGGAGCGAGGAGCAGCAGGACACGGCAGGGGCGGGGAGGCAGCGCCTTCCCCCCGCGCCTCCCACACGGCGGAGCGGGGCGCGCTGCCCTGCTCGCCCTCTCCCCTAACTCTGACCCCGGCTCAGCTCCCCGGTCTCCCGGGCGGCGGAGGCAGCGCGGCTCAGCCCAACTTTGTCCCTCCAGCAGTGCAGCTTAGGGGCGGAAAGGCCGAGCCGGGGGGTTCTCTCCGGGCGGCGCCGGCCGTGCCTAGAGCCCGCCGAGCGTGGCTGGCAGCGCAGAACAGCCGTGGGTGCCCCGCTGCCGCTGCTCCGCCGTGGTAATCTCATATCTACCCATTCACCCGAGTGGCGTGCGGAGAACCGGCCCAAGATGGCGGCGCCCGGGCGATTGTTTTTGTTTCCTCTCCGCCTCCCCCTCCTTCCCCGCGGCCGCGGCGGCCGCCGCCGATTGACAGCGGCCCCGCCCAATCGCAGCGCGGCTCTCCACGCCTAGCCCCGCCCAGCCCCTCTCGCTCCGCCTATCGGCGGCGGGGCGGGGCCGGCGTGCGGGAGCGCGCCCCGCCCCTCGCGGCCCGCGCGCGCCGCCTCACGGGCGCGCTCCCGGCCCGCCCCGCCCGCCCCTCAGGGCGCGGCCCCTCGGGCGCCCTCGCCCCGCTCCGCCCCGACCCTCGCCCCGTGTCGGGGATTCGCCTCCTGCGAGGGGTCGGGGGGCTGTTTGGTGCTCCCGTCCGCAGGTGATGGAGGGAAAACGCCAGTGGGGGCTAATGGTGTCCTGGTTCTGCGTCTCACCCACACCCCAGCCTGGAAATGGCCCTGGAAACGCCCCACAGGTGGCCCTGGTGGGAGCCGCGGCTGCGGGCACGTTCCTCGGGGGCGTTGGTGGTGTCACAGTGTAGAATGAGACTCACGGAACGGGTTGGAAGGGACATGAAAGATCATTTCATTCCAATCTTTATGCCATGGGCAGGGACACCTTCCCCTAGCCCAGGTTGCTCCAAGCCCCGTCCAACCTGGCCTTGGACACTCCCAGGGATCCAGGGGCAGCCACAGCTTCTCTGGGCAACCTGGGCCAGGACCTCCCCACCCTCCCAGCCAGCAATTCCTCCCCAATATCCCACCTAAACGTACCCTCTGGCAGTGGGAAGCCATTCCCGGTATCCTATTACTCTATCCCTTATCCAAAGCCCTTCTCCATGTCTCTGGCAGTCTCTCCCCCCCAGATACTGGAGGGCACCTGGACTGTGCGTTATGACACTGTCACACCACGATCCCACATCAAAAGGTGGTTGTTCCTCCCCTTCGTGTCACGTGCAGGTCATTAATTAATTAATTGCTCTGTGCTGCCCTCCCTGAAGGACAGGGTGCTCCCCGGCCTGGTGGCCGAGCTCCCTGGCACTGGCACCTTGCTCAGCCTCCCCCCAGATCACAACAAACTCCTGTTTCCTATCGTTATTTGTCCCTTGGGCCAGCAGTTCCCAGGATTTATTTGGGGTGAGAGAGCTTTTGGATGTTCCCAAGGCAAGCACAGCACTGCAATGTGTGACAGAGGAGGGCAGAACAAAGGGGTTTGTTCTCCAGTGGGCATAAAGCAGTTGGATTTGGGATAGAGGAGGGGCAGAGCAGGATGGATGGATGATTTCCTTCTGTAAATCGTTTGTAAACGCTTTGTACCCCTCTACACAGAACACTTTGCACTAAATCATCCCCCTTGAGGGCGGTGGGTCTGTGCCTTCATGAGCTTGGTGTCACTCCCTACGCTTTTTTTAAATGGATGTCATAAAAATGACTTGCCTCTGGATAAAAAGGAAGACATGGCCCTTAGATCCGGAGATCCAGGTGGGAAAGCACAAGGGCCTTGGCAGTGGCCTTTAATTTCTCTATCCTATAAAGGCCTGTAATTGCATAAGCAACGAGCACCAAGTTCTCTGAGAACTGGGTTTGCTGTTCACTAACCCCAGATAGGTACTGAGTGATTCCAAACTGCCCCATGGCACATCCTAAGTTTTTTTTTTTAGGGATATGAATACTAAGTGGCACTAAACTGGAAGGAATATTACATATCTTTCCCATATGTGAATATACAGCTGAGTCAAGGCCGAGTGACACTGCCAGGCTGTGCTAATTCACAGATCAGAGTTCAGCAACCAGACCTGGTGATCCACCAGGCTTCAGACACCAAGAAAGGCACCTACTTCAGTCTATTCACATCGAGGTGTCTGCTTGAGGTCTTAATCAGGGCATCCTTGGCGTGTCCCAACACTTCCCAACTACTAAATTCGTCCAGCCACCGTATTTTTTTTTTATGATCTGAAACATCCCGAGCGCAAAACAAGATGTCAGGGCTTGTGCACATCTCGAAGCATCAAGACATGTGGCAACACCTTTTATGCCACCCTTTATCCAAGTATTTCAGAGTGATTTACAGGCGTTAATTAACGTTAAGCGTTACAACACTCCTACTTAATCTGGAGTTTTTTAATATTCTTCAATAGCAGAATATTTAAACGTGACCTGTTCTGCAGGTTGGGTTTTCACATGGCTCAGCTGCTTCAAAACGCCGGTCATGTTGCCACATGAGCAGGAAATTATAGCTAAAAATATTGCTATTGTGTGTGTGTGTGAATACATAGATATATATATTTATATATGTATGTACTTCCCACTGTAGGTAGTTGGCTTAGGGTTTGTTTTTTTTTTTTACCCACAGAATGTAAATTATGGTCCATACTCGTATTTTACCGATTATTTCTGATAAAAATAGAACAAATATGTCACCTGTGTGACACCCTTTGCATGGATGTCACGGTAAGGAGGTGTCTCTTACTCAAGTAGCTTCTTATCCTTGGGCAGGGGTGGGTTTTTTTGCTGGCAGGATTCCTTTGGCAGAGCAAATCCTTCTGGCCATCCAGGAAATATTACAAACCCAATAGCAGTGTGGGGTTAATCTTGTCAATCACCTGTTTATCAGGACCACGGGAATCACCAGTGAAGCTTAATTCTCTCTTTTCCTTCCGAGTTTTGAGGCTGAGTGGGAGCCAGTGCTCTGTGAATCAGGATGATCACCTGCATTAGGGATTTGCTCCCATTTAATTGCATTTTTTTAAAAAAAAGGGCGGTTTGGTGCAAATATTGTAGGGAAAGTGCCAACCATTTTTATGAGATACTTGAAGCAAAATGCTCCAAGGGCTTTGGGCAAGGCTGTTGTTTTATTGCTCGTAAAAGGATGAGTTTTATCCCAAGTAGACACATTAAATGTCAGCACAGTTGCTGTCTGCTCTTTATTTTTAAATGTCTTTCTCATGTGAATTTTTGGGGGTGTTTCCCTTTTTCACCTTTTGGCTCTTCATTTTTTATTTTCCTTTCGCCTTAAAACTCCAGATTTAATTTTTATTTTTTTTTTCCCTTTCCCCCCTCTTCCAAGATCAATCTGTCTCTGCATTTTTAATGAATCATTTGCTGTGACATATGAGCACTGAAGACACAGTGTCAGGGACTTAAGCATCTGTGGAGAGCAGGAGGAGCAGCAGAGAGATGAAATGAATGTGATCTTAGCTCCAGTCTTTTGCTCATGTGGGATGGTTCTTTGCCTAGAGGCAGCACAAATATAACTTTCCTTTTAGGGAATAATGAGGAGAATTAAAACCCAGCAATGTCTCATTTTTTTTTTCCCTCAGAAATTGAGGATTTGAGGATTTCAGCTGTCCCCACGCTCAGCACTGAATCAACACCCCAACCCAGCGGGATAGGTAAGAAACTTTTTGTGCAGGACTCATTCACAGCACCTGCAAAAGCATTTTTAAGTGGGGTTTGTCATAGCAGGAGCAGAACCCTTGGTGTTATCTCCTTCATCTTCCCTCATGGTAGAAATAACTCTCCCTCTGAAACTCTGAAGGGAGAGAGGAGCAGGTTCAGGCACTGTCCTTACACAACCAAACCAAAAAGGACCAAAATGGCAAGGAATTCATCTCTCTCCTCACCAGCCAGCTTGACCTGCCACTGGGAAGAAGTGCAGATACTGGAGGACAGCCTAAATTAAAAAAATAATAATAAATAATTAAAAGCAACTGCCTTAAAGTATTTTTAGTTTCATATACATAACTTATGTGGAACTCATAATATTCCAAAAGAGTTTTAATACAAATTTCCAGTTTTATTGCAGTGGACAGATAATAAAATTGCTACAAATTATTCATTATTTTGTGCTTTTTTTACTCTGTCCCAAAACTATTGAGGTGCTTTCCAGTTATATGGATAGCACAGCTTTAAAACATGAGAAAATGTGCAATTAATTCAACCTTTGGAATGCTGAGGAACTGAAACCCAAAGCTTGCACAGTGAAATACCTGCTGAACTCAGAAACCTCTTTTGGATCCAGATATTTTGGTTTTGGTGTCCTCATTTCCCTCACGTGACCAATACCAAAAATTACAAATGGACAGGATTTCCCTCTCTCATGTTCTGTAAATCTGTTCGTGGAGTGAGTTTGTGTGTGTGAAAAATTCCTTTTCAATGGAAAAAGCTGGAGCCTGTAGACCCTCATTACCACAACTCTTTTCCTGCCTCAAGTTTAAAAACAAACACGGAAATACAAAACTGTAAATACGAAATTTTAAACACCAAAACTTTAAATGCAAAATTTTAAATGCAAAATTTTAAATACAGAATTTTAAATGCAAAATTTTAAATGCAAAATTTTAAATGCAAAATTTTAAATACAGAATTTTAAATGCTAAATTTTAAATGCTAAATTTTAAATGCTAAATTTTAAATGCTAAATTTTAAATGCTAAATTTTAAATGCTAAATTTTAAATGCTAAATTTTAAATACAGAATTTTAAATGCAAAATTTTAAATGCTAAATTTTAAATACAATCTCCATCAAGAAATTGTTGTTCAAGGCTACATTCATACTCATGATTATTTTGCCTTTTTGACCTGCTTTCCAGACTTTTTTTTTTTTTTTTCCATAAAATCCTGGAGCAGGGATTCAAAACTCCCAAACCTTTTTTCCTGGAGGAAGAGAGTGATGTTTCCTTCTAGGATTTGCAGGATCATCCAGCTGGAGCTCCCTGTTGCTTTCAGACCCCCCCTTTGAAAGGCTTCATACACATACATATATATATATATGTTGGTAAAGATTTATATATTTTAGATGAACAATTTGCAATTAAATTGCAAATGTAAAGAAATAGGAGAGCAAAGCAGCCAAAGGGGTGAGATTGGCAGATATTTGGAATATTTGACTGTGTGCTTCTTCAGAATTATTGTGTCAATGTGACTTTTGGCTCTTTTGAAACCCTTAAAATACTTGAAGAGATGTGGCTACTATATTATTTATATATATTATTTTCAGCCAGGTTACAAGTAGCAGGCAAGTTTTTCAGG